CAGGGACTCTAACTCTTCCACACTTTTCCTGGCCTGAGCTGCTCTCTGAAACCACAGAGAAAGATTTCATTACTCCTTCAGTTTTGAATCTGTGATGCCTCCCAAACCAGTACCATTTGGACAATATTACCAAGTTCTGCTTCCAGCTCAAGATGGGCCTGGCCCCCTTGCACCTCAACTGTATCAACTTCTGTGTACTGACCCTGGTAATCTTTCCCTAGGCAGATGCCTTCAAGAAGCAGGGAACTCCTTCAATTTAAGCTTTCTTCCTTCAAATGAATTTGGATCTTCATAAGAGGGAGCCTCTAGTTGGTAAGGTTTTGCCCTCAGAGCACCCTTCTGTCTCTTCAGTGGTGCTAATCTCTTAACTATTACACCACTTTTGTCACATCAGTCTGCATGCTTTCCTGTCTTGACATTTCCTCCAACAAATTAGTCAATTTTCTTTAAATTCAACTTCACTGAAGTTTTCAGGAGGAATAAAACCAGATTCTTGGCCAAAATATCACATGAATAGCTCCTATCTCAGTTCCTGGATTCCTGAAGACCTCAGGAGCCAGGCCTCTGCTATCAGCATTTCTTACCTTATTCTTATTTTTCAAGCTCCCACCATAACCACCCACTAAGCTCTGGTTACAGCATTCAAAGGCTTTTCTATCCCATAGTTCCAAACTGTTCTACATTCCACCCACAAACCAGTTCCAATGGCCCAAGAACCACATGGTCAGGTTTATCACAGCAGCAGGCACACACTTGGTACCAGTTTTCTGGTACCAAGTTTCTTAGTTACTTTTCTGTTTCTGTGATAAAATATCCTGTCACTGTGAGGAAGGAAGGGCTTATTTGGGTTCACAGTTTGATTCCAACATGGTGGGAAAGCCCTGGTGGCAGAAGCTTGAGGCATCTGGTCACATCTCGTTGCATCCACAGTTAGCTTATGCTGCTGCTCAGCCCTCTTTCTCCATTTACATAGTCCAGGATCCCATCCAGGGAATAGTGCCACCAGAGTGGGTGGGTCTTCTCACCTCAATTAACTCAATCAAGATAATACCCAACATGCATTCCCAGAGTCTTATCTTCTAGGTGATTTTTAGATTCTGCAAGTTGGCAATTAACATTAACTGTAATCTTATTCTTATTTCCAAGATAGTAGATAAGCTTGCTTGTACTTCTCTGACTTTTTTATTTTATTTAAATTCTTGATAAATATAGTGATGATAATTTAGTAGCCATCATTTTGGAAACAGTGACAAGAACTATCCAAAAACTTGTGAAAGAGAACAAAGGAAGAGCCTTCGGTGCATGCCTTACACTACATGTCTGGGTGTTTGAGTAGGAATGTCATGATGTTCATATAGACAGAGTGGTGTGGGACCATTGTTAGACTGGTGTCATAAAGCAGCCATGAAAATGGCAGGTGATTACTTATTGTACCCCTTTTGTCATGTTCCACACAGTCACCCAAGGGGCAGAGACTGTAATGACTTTTGCATTTACCTAAAGAAACTTAAGTGGAGAAGTTTATATGATTTGCCTGAGGTCACATAACTGGTATATGGTGGAGCAAGGATTGATGGTTAGCTCTTTCTGACTCTCGGTCCTGAGTTCTTAACCTCAGAACTGAGGGCTTCAGTGGAAAGCTGTTTTGTGCTAGTGATAGGTAAAGACATTGGTACAGCACTTTCCAAGTCCAGGTTGCATATCACACAGCCTTTGGAAGGAGAAAGCGTGTTCAAACAGCAAGAGTGAGGAGGTCATGCCTTTCACAAGGAAAAGGAGGCTGGAACAGGACCAGTAAATGAGGCAGATGATTGATCTTGAATTGACTCACCTTTTCAGCCCTCCGCACTCTCTCATCTCATGATACAGTAACTCTCTTTATCTCATGAGTGGAGTTATGAACAGTTGTTAGCTTCCATGAGGGTGCTAGGAATCAAACCCAAGTCTCTCTGCAAGAGCAGTCAGTGCTCTTAAGCACTGAGCCATCTCTCCCTTGAAACTGAATCTTAAGGAGGGTAATTAATGTTTCATTGAGTGGTTGATGTAAGCAGATACTTATCTCATTTTACTGTTCATGTTTATTCATGAATGAACATAGGATTATGTTTACAGAGTCCCTACTATGTTCCAAACACTCTTCTACAGGTTTCAGAGCAACATCTAGGACATTCAAATTAAATCTATCATTTGATGGGTGTGAGCCAACCATTCAAGGATCTTGATAAAGAACATTACAGGGAAAAAGACGGAGATGGGTATGGTGGCTCATGCCTGTAATCCTAGCACTTGGGAGATAGGGCAGGAGGCTTAAGAGTTCAGGATTGTCCTTGACTGCATAGGCAGTTCAAGACCAGCCTGGACTACATGAGACCCTGTCTCAAGAAAACCTAACAGAGAAAGAAACAGGTCCAAAAAACTCTAAAGTAGAGGAGAATTTTGTATGTCTGCGGGTCAACAAGAATGGCGGCAAGGATGAAAGGAAATGACTGACGGGCAGAGGTCATCAGTGTAGTAGGAGTGGCATGTAATAGTGTAGTAGAAGCTTAACTTGTATAAAGTCTTGGTGTATGGGTTTTATTCTAAAATGAATGAAAACCTAGTGGCAAGTTTTAAGCAGCATTGACAACAACACAGTGTGTACAGTATGTATTTGAAATGTATTTGAATGTGGGAGGCCACAGCAGGAGAGTGGAAGATGGTAGGGACTTGGGTCAGGTGGTAGCTGTGAAGATGGAGCAAGAGACAGAAATTAGACTTATTTTGGAGATAGCAATCCTAATGGATTGATAAGGAATATGAAAAGGATAGGAATCAAAGGTGAAGCCTGGATTTTTTTTCTTGAATAATTGATGCTTGTTCTCTGATGAGAAGATTGGAAGAGAACTGATTTGTAAAAAAGAAAAATCAAGAGTTCTCTATTGAATCTGTGAAGTTGGAGATGCTATGAGATATTTAGGGTGAAAGTTGAAAGAATGGGGTTTCAAGCAAGATAAGAACACAGCTGAAACTGTAGAAGTACATTGTAGAGAAGTGAAGACGCGTCACCTGTCAGTCGTTGAAGCATGTCTGTTAAAGCAAGAGTGTGAAGAAATGACACTGTCACACAATACAGAATACTGTATTTTTTTATGTCGAGCCTTTCTTCATTAGAAGCCCAAAGGCCAGTATTAAATAAAGTATGGAAAATAAATGAGTCCATTCTAGCATTTGATATAAGGTCATTTGTCTATACCTTAAAAAATGCGATTATTAGAATTCTCCTCCTAGGTAACATGACAGTCACCAAACAGCAAGGCTATGCATTTTGTGGGCTACCAGTGACTGTTTTGCTGGTGTTCTGGATAAGAGCCTTTCTCAATGCAAACTTCTTGTGTAGCACCTGCTGTGCCTAACGGGATGGCTCAGGTGGCAGCTTCTCTGTCCATCAGCTCAAACAATGTCTATCCTGTCTATCCTGTCTGTCCTGTTATACCAAGCTCCTTTTTTGGTAGTGAGTATTTCAAAGAGTATATCCTTTATCATAATGAAATAAGATTTATAGTTAACATGATCAACTTGTACAATTCACTGCAGAGATCAGCGTAGTATTCCAACTACAATATAAAGAAGAAAAATAGGAAAAGGTTTATAATGAACCGGAAGCATATTAGAACCTAAGTGGTGAATATAATAAAGTATTTAGATGTGACCTGATTTTCAAAATGCCGAAGTTATAACAGCAAAAAATTAAAATTGTTCTTTGATTTATGCAATACCTGTGTCTCTAGAAAACTTGGTGTATCTTTAAATCATGCAGAAATGCTTTGTTACTTATATGTCACAGATTTAGGTTCAGATAATGATTAGATTGTTTTTACGTGAAGAAATGTATGGCAGGATATTAGAAAGTCATACAGGGATGGAAAATTTTTTGATATGCAAAAGTGTTTTGAGAGCCACAGAATAACCTCTGGCTCCTGATAATCTACAGGGAGACCCTGTCTCAAAAAGACCAAAAAAAAAAAAAAAAATAAAAGCAATAGCAAATGTATTTTGACAGCCAGAGAATAACCTCGGGCCCGTGATAATCTCCAGGGAGACCCTGTCTCAAAAAAACCAAAAAAAAAAAAAAATGTCTAAAACATCCCTGACTTGTACCACTCCTGCCAAGAACCGTGTCTAACTGCTCACTGGGTTGTTGGTACCCCTGCATCACAGACACACCCAACCCACTCACAACTATGACCTTTGTGCAGACAGGATTTTGTCTGCCTTGTTTCTGTCTTCTCCCAGAGCCTGGCTCAAGGTTTTGTCTTTGTTAAACATTGGAAGGAAAGGATGGATGGATGGATGGATGGATGGATGGATGGGTAGATTTTCTTTTGTTCCATTTTGTGGAGAAAATTTCTATTCTAATCCCTCTTCACTGTTGTGATGTGAGAAGACTTAAATAAATATCCATGAGGTAAAAAGCAGTAGAAATTAATTTCCTTTAAATAACACGTATGTCTTTATTTCTCTATTGCTGTGATGAAACACTGACCAAAACTTGGGAAAGAAAGGGTTTATTTCATCTTACACTTCCAAGGCACAGACCTGCTTTGTGGGAAGTCACACAGGAACGCAAGGCAGGAACCTGGAGGTAGGGACTGAAGCAGAGACCATGGAGGAATGCTTGCTCCTGAGGCTGGTGCTCAGCCCGGTTTCTTTATAGAACTCAGTACCATCTGCCTAGGGGTGGTACCACCCACAATGGTCTAGGTACTCTCACATCACTCAACAATCAATAAAATGCCTCACAGACGTGCCCACAAGCTAATCCAATGGAGGAAATTTCCCAGTTGAAATTCCCTCTTCTCAGGTATGTCAAATTGACAATTGAAACTATCCAGCATGAAGTGCTAGTTACAGACTATCTAGCTTTAGCTGAGTGGCATCTCTGACACCATCTATTTAAACATGAGCATCTATTTAAACATGTGGGGTGTAGAATACATAAAGCTTTTCTCCTTTCTTTCTAGACTGGGAAGAGTTGGCTTACTATGAAGAAAATACACGGGATTTTCTTTACCCGGAGCCCAAGCTAACACCCTCACACCCTGGTATGCATAGAGACCTGCTTATGAAGACGGCTGTAGGTTTTCCAGTAAGTGATCTTGCCCACTGGGGCTTCTACTGGGAAAAAAATTCTTGGATTATCACCATTTCATTCCTGACAGGGTTGATCTTCGCCTTGCTTAGTACCAAACTTCTATTTTTTTAGCCATGTTCAGAGCCCAGCTCAGGAGACCAAACTACACTGATTTCTACTATTGATCTAAGAGGTAGAAGTTTTATTATCTAACTAAGCTACATCATCGCCATATTCATTTGTTGCATAGTGTCATAAAAGTTTGCTCTTTCAACTTCCTCTTCTGTAGATTGACAGAAAGATTTGTTTAGTGATAACTATTCTCACTAAATACAATAGCAAATCAATAATGTAATCTTACATTTATTTTAATGCTGTCAACTTTCTGTGTTTTAAGTCATTTCCCTTCTAACAATTTTTGAATTAGCCAAGGCACATACTCTACTCTCCATTTATCAGCGGGGAAATTGATAGATGCCAACTGATAACACTGGAGAATTGTAAGTGACACAGCAGATGAGAAAAGACTGGGGAAACTCTCACATTACCTTTTTTTGAGACAGGGTCTCCCTGTGGTCCCTATTGGCCTCCAAACTTGCTATGTAGCTGTGTAGACAAAGCTAGCCTGGATCTCACAGAGATCTGCCTGCCTCTGCCTCCTGAATGCTGGAATTAGAGGCATGTGCCACCACATCCAGTTTCATATTAAATTTTGTTTGTTCAAATTCTCATTTAAAGCCAGGCATGGTGGCGCATGCCTTTAGTCCCAGCACTCGGGAGACAGAGGCCAGCGGATCTCTGTGAGTTCAAGGCCAGCCTGGTCTACATAGTGAGTTCCAGGACAGCTGGGGCTACAGGGAGACCCTGTCTCAAAAAAAGACAAAAAAAAAAAAAAAGCCAAAAAAAAAAAACCCAAATCAACTTCTCAGTTAAGTCATCTTCAAAACCAAGCAAGGAGAAACTCTGTTATCATTCCTCATGTTACCTGCTGATCTTTATGACCACAAATAGATAAATTTAACCTGTAAGAAATTATTATTTGTAGTTATTTATAAATGGAAGGAATTATCAGAGAAAAAACTTTAAAAATGCATTGAAATACCTTCACGAATTAGAGGGAAAAAATACCAGTTCTTACAACTGAGTTAATCAAACTCTATAAACAATTTATAAAAGGATAGATAGGCCCAATTTCTCTGAAATGTTCCACAATTCAAAATAAAACCAATTGCCAAAGTTTTAATGACAATTGATATTCATTGTGTGTGCTGAGCTCATTGCATGGACCATCTTGTTCTGTCATCTTGTGAAGGGACTGCTGTTCTTTTCCTCACTATATGATGTGGAATGTGTTGCCTGGAATTTCAGAAATGTACTCAGGCTCACAGTGCTGGTGGGTGATGGAGCAGTGATTCTCATGCTCTGAAATTTATGCCTAGTTATGACATATGTTAATTCTCTTGTATTTATTTCAATCCCCTATTACATTTTTTTCATTAACATCCTAGGAAATGATAATGAACTAAATGTATAGGTCAGCCAAATCATTATCTATTTATCATCTCATAATTCATTGGTTCATTATCTATTAACTTTATTTTCTCCACTGTTAGGGGATTTTCTTTGTATGTTTTATTGTACTTTATACCCCAACAGTCTTTTAGACAATAAAATACCAAGCAAAAATAGACATACCAGTTAATAAAAGAAAACCAAGTTTGGCCATAGGTCTGATGAATATATATACATGTTTGATAAAAGATGAAAGCAAGTTTTCTAAGGCAAGAGAAGAAAGGAGACCCTTTATCCATCCCTCCTCTCTGCTAATCTCATTTATGGCCCCATATTTTAGATAGAGTAGCTCACAGCTTGGACACTGGAACTCACATGCCTGGGTCCAGCTACCAGCTTTGCTACTGCTGGTCCAACAGGTTGCTTTAACTGTGTCTGAGCTTACTCATCTCCAAATAGAGATCCTATTAGGACCTACTTCATGGAGTTGTATTAGGATTATAATTAATGTACAAAACACTTAGATCTGCGCTTAGTATAGAACACATATTGCACAATGCTTAGCTATCCTTATTTTGTATGTTTTAGAAAATATATTCAGATTATGCCAACTACAGAAGGACTATTGGGTTCTTAGAGAATTTCTAGTTGAGAGGAGATGAGCAGAGACTTGCTGTCAGTAATTTTACTTGCTTCTTTCATGCTTATTTTTAGGGCATTGCTCCCAAACTAGAATTTTCTACAAGAACAGCCATCCGAGAATGTGTGTTTCCACATAGAAACAGATTTTTTGTAAGTATAATGAAAAGGATAGTGATAGAAATGAGAGAAAATTTTCCCTCAGTTTAAAGACTTTTAGCCTGAACTCAGTTTACTCATTTAAGTGAAACTGAACAGATAGTAATCTGTGCTGTTTTTGCCAGCTTTGAATTTCTGTATTCAGACCGTTTGCTCAGCCGCTCACATTAGAGCGTTTGTCATATATTCAGAATAGTAGAGCCCAGGTGAAGAATGCTGATTGGGTAATGGCATCACAACAGAATACAAGAGGTAACCAGTCCTATCTTCCCCTCCAGCCTTGCAGTCTACCTCTAGCACCCACTAATAGAACAGCTGGAAAAACAAAAAGGAAGTTGGCAGAGTCTCTACTACGGGGTCCCAGAGCTGAGGTAGGTTTGCTCTAAGATAGTTGTTTATTCACCATTGCAGCTGGATTTTAGAACTATTTTAATATGGTCATGGTGACAGACACCTGTAATCTTAGCACTTGGGAGTCTGAGGTGGGAGGATTGCTATAAGTTGAAGGCCAGCCTGGGCTACAAGATAAGACTCTGTCTCAAAACAGCAACAACAACCATGCCCCCAAACTATTATAGGCATTTTAATTTGCTGTGCACATAGCCAAAGAATTTAATAAATTATTTGAAGTGAAATTGTTAGATCCAAGTACATGTGCTATTCTAGCCTCCTCAGTATCTTTCATCTGCCTGTGCTTGGAGAGAGAGAGAGAGAGAGAGAGAGAGAGAGAGAGAGAGAGAGATATTCCCTTAATGCAGATCAACCTTAATATTATTACTTAAAATATGTGATTTTAGTAAGTTATAGATACTAGTTACATTAAGCTGCATGGTAAGAAGATTAAGTAGAGAAGTGCCCTCGTTAAGTGCATGTTTTATAAATCCCAGACAATCTTCTGTCTTAGTTTCTAAAAGCTCAATTCATTATAGTTATAGTCTAATTTAATTAACTTCTTTTTCATCAAAATATATACTTGGGAAGGATATTTAATCCTAGCACTCAGGAGGCAGAGGCAGGTAGATCTCTGAGATGGAGGCCAGTCTGGTCTATATAGCAAGTTCCAGGCCAGCTAGGCTATAGAGAGACCCTGTCTCAAAAAGGCCAAAAGGAAAAAAACGAAGATATTTCTTGGGCTGGAGATTCTTTGCTGTCAATAATGGGTAGTGTGCCTACCAAGCATGCTCAAAGCCCTCAGTCTGATTCCCAGCACTGAATAAAACCAAACCAAACCCTAAACCATCTTTGTGTTTTTTGTTTGTTTGCTTTTTGTTCTCAGGAAGAAAAGTGTAAATCACAAAAGCCTTTATTGACATCACATGGACAAAGAGTCCCTTTAAATAACAGAAAGATGAAGCCAAAGGACAAAAATCCAGACAGACTTCCCAAAGGCACACCTTCCCGGGTGCCATCTCCACTCCTCAACTGCGGCTTCTTCCAACACCAGCCAACTCAGTTGAACCTTGACAGTAACTTCAGATTCCCCTGGGAAAGGAAGCCTCCATTTGTGGTTAGACATGTGAGCCTAATGTGATTTTTTTCAGAGTACTTTGCTATGGTGAGGATGGGGATAAGGGTGGGAGAAAGGACTGTGGAGCCTTGAAAACAAGCGGGTAATATTACCTAAAACGGAATTCAAATGGCATAATAACTGGTTAACATTCATTCATTTTCTAGTGTTATTGTCAGGAAATGCTTATAAAATCATCTCACTTGCTCAGTAAATGTCAATCATCCCTATTTTTAATTTTTGAAAATTATTATTAATAAAGTATGACATCTGTGAATGATACCTCACTATTACTCAGAAGAGCTGGTGAACTGCCAGGAATCCAATGTTAATCAAAGGCTGGTGGATATAGTGTATCAACCCAAACTAAAGCTTTATCTATTTGAAAGAAACAGTTGCAGTTTTCTCAGTAAGATGGTGCTCAGTGGCCAAATATTGAGGAGCAGGGATAAGGTGTGGAGAAAAAAAGAAATGACTGGCCTCACCCAAAGCTTAGAGTCATTTGAGATTTAGCCACAGGAAACTGTGGGTTCCTTCAATCATGGTAGCCCACTTAGTTGTCTTAAATTATTTTTACTATTATACCATAAAAGTAATAGAAAATATAGAAAAGTTCAAGAAAAGTTTGCACATAGGCTCATCAGTGTAATAAAATTATTAAAGCCAGGTATGGTGGCACAGCCTTGTCATCCCAGCACGTGGGAGGCTGAGGCAGGAGAATTGCCGTGAGTTTGAGGCCAGTCTTGGCTACACGAGTTCCAGGCCAACTTGAGCTTACAGAGTGAGCTCCTGTCTCAACACACACACACACACACACATTAAATGATTGGATTAATTTTCTTCAGCTTTTTGTATTCATAGGCTCTATGTTTTCTCTGCAATTGTAATTATACAGTGTATACAGCTGTCTCTTGATACATTGCAATTAGCCTTTTCTGTTATTTCATACTCTTCATGAATTCTATTCCAAATTCTAGTTAGTGACTTATCTCCAGAATGTTAGCTACTGATAAAATATTATGTTGGTATTTTGACTTAGAGTCACTAGAAATGAAGTTTGTCAGTTTGATAGATTGTGAAGCAGGTTAAGTCTCAGAGTCAAGGTGCTGTTGAAATGGTATGTAACTTGTTTGGTGGTAGAATTGAGCTTTTTGGCTAGAAAACACTGACTAGCTAATCTACAGATAAGAACTATTCATAGATGCAAAAATACAAAATGGCTATTTTCTCTTTTGTGGTCTAAGTAAAAATCTGACAAATCTAGCAACCAGTCTTTAAGGTAGCTCTGTAGAAGTATTTCTAGCATACATTTTTTTGGACAGTATGACTTGCTCCATTCCATATATATGTCTATAAAATATGATTTTAGCCTATTAAAGGATTAGATTTAGATTCCTATATAATGAAAACTTGCTTGATACTTCTATTATTTAAAAAATTCTTATATAGTTCTTACTATGCACTAAGCTTTTTCATAGGTGGTCATGAATATTTTATTTAGCCAGACTTCCTAATTATATGTGATAAATCTTTAATTTTGGAAACTCAATGTTGTAAAGACTATAAATTCAAATCAGTCTATTTCAGGTTTTTTTTTTACCTGTTCTATAGATCATGTTGACCAATTTTGTTTTAGGAAAATATGGTCTGCTACCTTAAGTAAAAGAATAGTTACTGATGTCCTTTTGGGGGGCGGCTTTTTGAGACAGGGTCTCTCTGTAGTCCCAGCTGGCCTGGAACTCACTATGTAGTCCAGGCTGGCCTTGTACTCACAGAGATCCTCCTGCCTCTGCCTCCCAAATGCTGGGATCAAAGGCTTGCACCACCACACTCAACATTGCTGTTGCATTTTAAAAGAATCTAGACACTCAGGCTGGAGAGATAGCGCAATGGTTAAGAACACTGATTGTTTTTGCAGAAGACCTGGGTTTGAATCCCAGCACCCACATGGCAGCTAACAACTGTCCCTAATTCCAGTTCCAGGGGATCCTACAGTCTCTTCTGTCCTCTGCGGGCATTGCACAACACGGGTGCACTTACCTACATGCAAGCAATACATGCATACACATAAAATAAAAATAATAAATAAAAATATTTTTTAAAAAAAGAATCTAGACACTCAACTGGAAGGGAATGCTAAAGGCCAATCCCTTGTTCTATGGGAGGACCACACCTAAGCCAGCACTGTTCATACAGTTAAGAACATGATACTCTGTCCTGTTTAAAGATTCTGAGCTATGTGGTGGCACACACCTTTAATCCCAGTGCTCAGGAGGCAGAGGCAGTCAGATCTCTTTGAGTTCCAGGCCAGCCAGGGCTAGACAGTGATAACCTTCTCAAAAAAAAAAAAAAGTGATACCTTTTTTTGTGTGAGAAATTCTTACCCTTTGTGCATCCTTACCAGTCATTAGAACATAATTGTGTCTAATTTTTTTGTTCTCTCTGCCCATATTTAGCACATAGCCTCATGTTCTAGCCTCAGTGAAGATAGGACAGTTTCTTCTGTTCCCAGTACCACATAACACACTTGGAAACCATGATTTGAGTTACTTTCTAACCTGTCTGAGTGAGGCAAGGAAAGGTATTATGGGTAATAAGGAGGAGGTGATGCAAGCTATTGTAGATGAAGTCTTACATCTTTCCTTTACTTTTAGGTGGACAGTGAAAAGCCCTTTGGTAAAAATAATTTGGAGGAGCATCATTCACAGAAGTCTAGAAGACAATCTAAATTTTTAAACTTGGCTTTTTCAATGAGAAGAGGTACTCAAATTTCTTGTTACACCTTACATTTCCTCATGGGAACCAGTTCTTCCTACTTACTCTGAGGAATCACAGGTTACACTGGAAACTATAGACCTGATTCTCAAAGTCTCTCCAGCTTTGGCATCCCCATGCGGCAGAGACAACAAAGAAGCCATTCAATGGCAAGTTGGCCTCACTCTGGAAGAGAACTGAGCTGGGTAGTGTGGCTGCATTCCCTGGCTAGGCTAGAAAAGCAGACAGCAGCCTGTTCTGGTGTGAATTCTCTGCAAAGGCACCCCAAACAGCTAGCATATATGCTGGTTGGTTTGCCATTTTTCTGAAGGACAGAGCAGGAGGCTGATGGTGGTGACCTTTGAGGACCTTAAAAAGCTTTTGTTGATGTGGATAATGTCTACTAATGTTTAGCCTGCTAGAAATCAAAACTTAGAAATTGTAAAACACAACACACTAGCAGAAAAGCCATTAACCATCAGAATAGTGATGTTAGGACATGTTGTGTTGGCTTTTGTTAGGACCCTGAGAGAGTGAGAATGAGAAGACCAAATCACAACGTAGTGTAATTAACAATGCACATTTGAGCTTGGAGGCCTCATGACAGGTCTTGAGGGGACCCTCAAGGAGGTTCCTAGACTGTGGATTGACAGCCAGGGGTTAAGGCACCCCGGGAGGCCTTTACCTCAGCCCTGAGCTGAAGAATCTGTTACTAATGAAAGTCGTGGTAGCAACATTCAACCTTTCCTGAACTTGCCCCCTATTTTCAGACTACGTCGAACTTGTCATGTCCTAACAACAGGGTTTGTCAGGCTTAATGGTTTGTATCTTTATTAATGGACTGCAGTATGTTTTGTAGTAACTCTGGACAGTGCCCTTAGAGCATGGTGACTGATAACAGCTGACCAAGGACAGAATGTGGTGTTGGGAGGAGAAAGTGCTTCATCACCTCTGACATTTAATTTAAATCCTGTGAGTTGAAAATCTCCCCATGTAGCCTGTCAGCAGTACTGCCTTTCCTATTACAGCAAATGTCCTTTCCTGAGGAGGACAAGTCAGTCTTGATGCTGGATTGAGTCTGATGGTGCTCATATGCCACACTGGTCTGTCTTTGTCTTAATTCTGACAAGTGAAGAACCAAGTTTCCAGATGTTACAGTGTGAATGTAGGTTACACACCAAGGTGTTAGCATAGCTACAGTTTCCTGAAGTTCATATCTCTGGACTCAGATCCTGGTATCCCTGTGACTTTCAAATCGGACCTTTGCCTAGGCCACCTGTCCACCTGTCAGCTCACCATCATGGTCTAAGGTAGAATAAATAAAGTAGTGCTTCTCAGACTCAGTGTGCATCAGATTTTGATTCAGGGGCAGAGATGGGTCATAGGTCCCTTTTTTCTTTTCTTTGAGACAGGGTCTCACTATGCAGCCTTGGCTAGAACTCACTATATAGACCAAACTGGTCTCAGAGATCTGACTGCCTCTGCCTCCTGAGTGCTGGGATTAAAGGTGTGCGCTACCTCACCCCACTTGGGTCCTCTTTCCTAACAAGCTTCCAGATGGTACTCATGCTGCTTATGGACTGCCCTTTGGAAACAAGGAACAAAAGCTACAGAATACATGGAAAAGCAGTTCTTAGCCAGCTTGTGAAAGGGAGTACTCAAAACCAGGAGCATGGGCTTCCTAGGCCTTATGGAGGGCTGTAGCTATAGCTGTATGGACTTCCGCATTTGCTGATTCCTTGCCGAGCTTGCGTTGGGGCACAAGAATTTCCAGGACCAGGTGAATACACATCTGTATGCCCAGATATGAGTATCAGGCCTATAAATCTCTTCTTAAATCTTTGTTATTACGATTGATATTGCGGGGGAGTGAGAAGTCCAGAAGAATCTTTTCATTTCACCCATTTTTTTCCATGTGTATTTATTGCTTTTTCTTTTTTAAAAAAATATTGTATTTATTATTTTTATTTATTTTATGTGTACGAGTATATTGCCCGCACGCATGTAAGTGTGCCTGTGTCGTGCAGTGCCCTTGGAGGTCAGAGGAGGGCATTGGATCCCCTGGAACTGGAGTTACAGAGGGTTGGTAGCCACCATGTAGGTGCTGGGTATTGAACCTGGGTCCTCTGCAAGAGCAATCAGTGCTCTCAACCGCTGAGCCATCTCTCCAGCCCCTCTTGCTTTTTTCTTAAATACATTTTTTGGTACTGGGGATTTTTTGGTACTAGGGCCTTGCTACTGTTACCTCACTTTCTAATTATCCTTGCCTATCAGCAGTATGAGATCTACTTCTCATGGTCATTTGGGATAATGGCGACAATTTTTGGGTTTTCTGCATTGTTTCTTGTATGTTCTTATATATTCATTGGGTCAATTTCACATTCACATTTACCTTGGACATATACACTCAAGAGCTCCTGCATAAGTAGGATTCTCCAGAAACCAAAGAGACCTTAACGGGCAGGTATATAAACGTAATATTAGGCCCATATTGCTTGCTTTGTGTCTCTAGGCCCCTGGGCAAAGACGTTCTCTCTGTTTAGAGCTGCTTAAGCATCTTGAACTTCTTTGCACTGCAGGTTTGTCTTTATCCTCCCTATTCCAGCTGTGCTGTCACTTCCTGGTCCCCCAGGAAGACAGAAAAATCTCCTAGAATTGCAGTTACCCACAGGAGACTCAGCAATGATAGTATAATTTATGACAGAATTTTAGTTCTTTAATAATCTGAGTTTCTTGCACTGCTATGGAATAACTGTAACAGGAGCTTTAGGGCTAACTGGTAATAATGAGTTACTCAAACTTCTGTTCCTCTTTCTTTCAGCTTCTTCTCTTGACAGCCTCGCAGCAAACATAAAGGTAATTTTAGAAGTAGCATTTTTAAAATGATTTATTTCCAGCTGTCTTAATTGTCAATGCCTGTGTTTTCTGCAGTCAGTGGGGAGAATCTATTCCTGGCTGTGTTGTTCATGTGGAGCGGCCCTAGTTCAGATAGCGCTGATGCAGAGGTGCTCTGGCTCCATGGTCCCTTTCACTGTGGGGCTCATTGGTTTACTCCCCTTCTTTATTTATATTATCAATGATCAAGGAGGGTATATGCAGGCTGATATCTAATTTATCACTAGTGACTCATGTTGCCTTTTCCCTAACCAAATTCCTTTATACAGTGAGGTGGTAAAGCATTTGTTCTCAATTTGATTAGTTTGTCAAAGTGAAGGCTCTACATGTATGCTACGAATTGAAAAGAGACGTGTGCAAAGGGAGTTGAGAATATATTCTCATGCACAGCATGGGCATGTTTTGTTTAAAAATCCTCTTTCCCAGAACAAAAAATTCTCTGTCCTCAGAAGTCAGAGTTCCAAGTGTGAGTTTATTTTGGTCTGTTAACATTGCCAAATGTAGATTCTTGGCTGTTTCCCTGACCTGGGCTCCTGAGCACGTTACCTCTGGCCTTCTGTACTGCAAGGCCTTCTTTTATTTGCAAGAGATTCCTGGGACACCTATTTTGTCATCTTACCTTAATTTTCTCTCTTGTCCTGGCCTGCTCCTAGCTCTATGTTAGACAAACAAAAACCAAACTGCAAGTGAAGAATAATGCATTTGTCACTAGGTGATCAGAGAGCCAGATGAGCGGATTATTTTAAGGAGTCAGTCACCATCACCTTTAGATTCAAGTCAGTTTGGAAAGTCCTCGCCCAGACACCAAGGGGATGCTGATTTCCACCAGGAAGCTTCATTTGTTACCTCCCAGAATTTCAGATCTCCCAGCCCTCTGGATCAGCCTCTTCTCCGAGAAAGGTCAGCAATCAGCACCCACCTCCCTCCCTTCCTTGCTTGAAGAGTGTTTGTGGCCTGTCAGGAGGAAAGCCTTGTCTTTTTGTTTTGCTCTTTAGCCTTTTCTCTTTTCTTAGGAAAAAGGTGTTTGAGAATGCTTGGTATAGGTTAGGGATGCACTTGCCTAGCATGCATGAGGTCCTAGTTCAGTCCCAGGGATGATAAAAAGAAGAAAACAAGACAAAACAACAGAAAAATAGACTAGAGAGATGGCTTAGTGAACAGAACTATGCACTTGCTGCACAAGTGTGAGGACCTGAGTTCAGATCCCCAGCACCAACATGCAAAAGCTAGGTGTGGCCCACTGGTGGAAGTGGGGTAGGCAGGATGGGGTGGGACAGAAACAGGACAGTCTGGGGCTTGCTAGAAGCTAGCCTAGCCAGAAAACAACCAAACAAACAAAATGGTGAGCTTCAGGTTCAGTGAGAGACCCTGTCTCAGGGGAATAAGACAAAAGAACACCCAATGTCCTCATTCTCCCTTGTTCATGTACTGTACATGCATGTACGCCCCCCCCCACACACAAGGTGTGTGGTGTAAATAGTATTTATAACTAGCAGTATTCATGTACTCATTTTTAATTTTTAGTTTTTAGTTTTATAGTAGTTTATATACAGTTTATATATAGTAGTTATATAGTAGTTTTTTAGTTTTTAGTTTTATTGTTAGTTTTTAGTTTTATAGTAGAAAAATTTTCA